CACCACCCCCAATCAGTGCTGCCGGTTCTCCTCTGCTCCCTCCTTATGACTGTACTGCAGATGGATCAGTTCTAGTTTGTGAGCCCCCACCCCCCCCTGTTGTCTGGGACCCATGTGTTCCCCCGCTCCACTGCAGCTTCAGTTTGTGAATGAACAGGAAGCCTCGCAGCACTTCCTATTCATTCATATATACAGCTGAGGCTGCAGAGAAAGGGACAGGTGAATCTATGACCTCAGGTCCTTTTCTCAGTTTCAAATTTGAGACATCAGGGGTCTGTTTAGACCCCTAATATTTCTTCAAAGCCCCCCTCCCCTTCCCCAACAGGGCAGTTAAAAATAAAAAATAAAAAAATAAAAACGTAAAAAAAATTAAAATTCTAAAAAAAAGGACTCATTCACATGTGCTTTGCTCTCTGTAACTGCCGGTTCACATATTTGCGGTTTGGATGTAAATTGAACCAAATTGAAAACTTTCTGGGTGAAGGCAACCAAGAAACATGGCCATAGTGGAACATCAAAAGCTCAAGTGCCCATTCACATATATGTGGATTGGATGTGGTCTGAACTGCATCCAATTCTCATGACATGTGAAATAACATTGCTTCCTATGGTGCCTCTTCACATACACTATACTGCCAAAAGTATAGGGACGCCTGCTTTTACACACACATGAACTTTAATGGCATCCCAGCCTTAGTCCGTAGGGTTCAATTATGAGTTGGTCCACCCATTGCAGCTATAACAACTCCAACTCTTCTGGGAAGGCTGTCCACAAGGTTTAGGAGTGTGTCTATGGGAAGGTTTGACCATTCTTCCAGAAACACATTTGTGAGGTCAGACACTGATGTCGGACGAGAAGGCCTGGCTTGCAGTCTCTGCTCTAATTCATCCCAAAAGTGTTCTATCGGTTTGACATCAGGACTCTGTGCAGGCCAGTCAAGTTCCTCCACCCCAAACACGCTCATCCATGTCTTTATGGACCTTGCTTTGTGCACTGGTGCGCAGTCATGTTGGAACAGGAAGGGGCGATCCCCAAACTGTTCCCACAAAGTTAGGAGCATGAAATTGTCCAAAATGTCTTGGTATGCTGATGAATTAAGAGTTTCCTTCACTGGAACTAAGGGACCAAGCCCAACCCTTGAAAAACAACCTTACACCATAATGCCCCCTCCACCAAACTTTACACTTGGCACAATGCAGTCAGGCAAGTACCGTTCTCTTGGCAACTGCCAAACCCAGACACGTCAATTGGATTGCCAGACAGAAAAGCGTGATTTGTCACTCCATAGAACAAGTCTCTACTATTCTAGAGTCCAGTGGTGGCGTGCTTTACGCCACTGCATCCGATGCTTTGCATTGTGCTTGGTGATGTAAGGCTTGGATGCAGCTGCCCAGCCATGGAAACCCATTCCATGAAGCTCTCTACGCACTGTTGTGCTAATCTGAAGGCTACAAGAAGCTTGGAGGTCTTTAGCTATTGACTCTTCATACAGTTGGTGACTTCTGTGCGCTTCAGCATACGCTGACCCCGCTCTGTCATTTTACGTGGCCAACAACTTCAAGGCTGAGTTGCTGTTTTTCCCAGTTGCTTCCACTTTGTTATAATACCACTAACAGCTGACCGTGCAATATTTAGTATCAAGGAAATTTCACGTATGGACTTATGGCACAGGTGGCAGCCTATCACAGTGCCACACTTGAAATCACTGAGCTCTTGAGAGTAACCCATTCTTTCACAGATGTTTGTAGAAGCAGTCTGCATGCCTAGGTGCTTGATTTTATACATCTGTGGCCATGGAGGTGATTGGAACACCTGAATCCAAAGATTTGGAGGGGTGCCCCAATACTTTTGGCAATATAGTGTATGTCCAATGCACTGGCGGTGCAGATTCAGTGCAGTTTGAAAAAGAGTCAAGTACAATTTCAGAGCATACAGGTTCATCTGCGGATTACAGGCTTGTGACTTCTGTGGGAACCGTTTCTAAACCACATATGTGTGAAAAGGATAAAATCCTGACCTAATCCTGTCCTGAGCCGGATATAAACCTGACCTGAACCAGCGAACAACTACTGTATCAATTAGCTGTGAGCTTCAATCCACACTGCACGTGTGTGAATCAGCTCAAATTTCTGCATTGGCTGCAAAGCATAGCATTGTGGCCGTGGCATGTCTACACCCCTAGCCACTGCCTCTGTTGCCAAAGGGAGGTAGCAGTTGGTGGGTGATAAAACACAGCTCAACCATGGGGTTTTTACTGCCTCCTAACCTCACATGTGAATGAGACCTAAGGACTCATCCACACAGGTACTCTGGCCATGGGAATGAGTGGATTGTTCATTCAGCTGGAGCCACCTGTTACTCTAAGGGGACAGAGTGGCTGTACGAACACTGCCACAGGTCCTAATTTGGCAGGTGTACAGGAGTGGGTGCACACAACCTGTGTTTAGGGCCCTACACCTGCACCCACATGCCTGTCAAATTAGCCTGCAGCTGTGATCGTAGTGTAACATAGGCTGCCTGCACACAGCTCCTGGTGGCATATAAACCACATAAACAAACCACTGATTCACACTGTACAGGCCACAGTGCCCACGTGAGTGTGCCCCAATACCTCATTCATACACAGAGCTTTAGCAGGAATAATGATATAATAATAGGTTTAGTGTATTTTGTAGCCAAAATATAATTTGGTTTTCGATTTGAAAATCATAGTATCAGGGGGGGCTGGGAACCCAGTCAGGTAGTATGTACAGGGCCGTGATTTCTAACAGCAGCCGCACACATCTGCCCAACATTAGAAGCATGGAGTGAATGTGTGGCGGAAGCTTATAATGTTGGGCATACATTATGAGAATGAAGGAATCTGTTAGATTCTTTTTTTTGCTTCAGCCCATAAGGTGAATGAAAAAAAATAACATTACCTGTGTGCCCAACTTTAGAAGTGTGGGGTGGATGTGTGGTGGAAGCTTCTGATGTTAGGCATACACTTTTTCTGGCATCGATTAATGTGCATGAAGGAATCTGTTAGTTTCTTTTTTTAATTCGACCCATAGGCTGAACAAAAGAAAAGAACATTGAATGTATGCCCAACGTTAGGTGCATGGCAGAAACTCCTAATTCAGACAGCCCCCAAATGCCCCTTTTTTTTTGGAAAGTAGACATCCCAAGGTATTTGCTAGGAGGCATGTTGAGTCTTTGCAAGATCTTATTTTTTGCCACAAGTTTTAGGAAAATGATTTTTCTTCTTACACAAAGTTGTCACTGAGGTATTTTTCACACATGGGTCATGGCTATATGAGGCATTACACCCGAAATCACAATCTGATACTTTTCCAGAGTATGGGGATACCACATGTAAGACTTTTTGGCAGCCTAGCTAGTAAAGGGGCCCAAAATCCTATGAACACATTCAGGCTTTCAAGGGGCCCTAATTAAGCATTGGATTTCCTGACTAACTTTCACATTTTTGGAGACCCTCAAATGCCCGGACCAGGGCCACGTGAAAAAAAACAAAAAGTGGTTTATTTTCTTCATTTTTCATACCAAGGACCTGTGTGAGAAATGTATCAATAAAGTGACAACATTGTGTAGAGAAAAAAAGTTTTTTTTTTTTTCATTTTCCAAAAATTTGTGCCAAAAAATAAGATCTTCCAAAGACTCAACATGCCTCTCAGCAAATACCTTGGGTGTCTACTTTCCAAAAATAGGTAATTTGAGGGGTTTATACTGTCCTGGGATTTGAAGGCCTCCAAAAATGTGATAGGTAGTCAGAAAATCCAATGAGTAACTAATGCCTTGAAAGCTTAAAGGTGCTCATTAGATTTTGGGTGCCTGTACGTGGCTAGGCTGCCAAAAAGTCTCTCACATGTGGTATCCCCATACTCTGGAGAAGTAACAGAATGTGTTTTGGGGTGTATTTCCACATATATCTATGGCATATGTGAGAAATATCTCATTAAAGTAAAGATATACATTTTTTTTATATAAAAAATAATAAACTCAGTGGTGAGCAAATACCACCAAAAAGAAAGCTCTATTTGTGTGAAAAATATTATATAAATTTCATTTGGTACTGTGTTGCATGAAGGAGCAATTGCCAGTTAAAGTAGCTCAGTGATAAAAGCACAAAATGGTCTGGCCATAGGGAGGGTGAAACCTTCCAGAGCTCAAGTAATCTTGAGGAAGAGAAGGCAAAGTAGAAGCTGAAGGAGACAAGAAGGTGTGTAAGCTAATCATGTAGTGGGGAAAATGAGAGAAGGTAGAAAGTTATCATGGAGGGGTAGAAGAGAACGCAGGCAGAGCGTGAGCTGCTCAAGAAAACCGTAGCAAATTTAAAGAAAGCATTAAGGTTGAGGTATAGAGGCATTGATCATTGATTCAGTAAGAGAGAGAGAGAGAAGGCAGTGAAATCTGATCTTGAACAGAAGATAAAGAAACTATTTGTAGTATAAGTAAATTAAAATACTGCACAAAGAGTAAAGAATTGCAGAGTGTGTTGAATGCAGCAGATGTCATTACAGGAGAGATGGAAGTAGAGTTTGGTGTGAACAAGTGCGGACATGATTGATGTGGAGTATGAGCAGTGAGAAGACCTGTAAATGCATTTACTGTGAACAGTAAGAGACAGCTGTCAAAAAATCAAATGTAGTTGGGTAGAGAATGTAGTGTGGTCAGAGAGCTGACAAGTAGTGTAGTGTGGACAGTGGGGGGTTTGGCAGAGAGCTGGCAGAGCCCATAGCATGAACTGGATTGGCAGAGAACTGCCAGAGAATGTGATGTGGATGGTTTGGGGAGAGCTGCCAGGAGACAAACTGTGGATGGGTAGGGGAGCTGGCAGAGAACATAATGTGGATAGGGGGATGCTGTTAGAATATGCAGTGTGGAGGGGGAATCACAGAAGCACAAGATAGACAGAAGGGCCAAAGAAGTTTTTTTTGGACAATGTTGGGAGAGATGCATCCAAAACTAGAGCAGACATTGAGGAAAGAGGTGCAACACAAGGAATGCAGGGGTGGACTGACCATTTGGAAACTCGGGCACCGCCCGAGGGCCCGGGGTCAGTAGGGGGCCCGTTAGATGCCCCTGGTACCTTTTTCATAGGCTTTTTTGAGTTTGGGCAAGGACACAGGGGCCCCATGATCCCCTATTGCCCAGGGGCCCCATGAGTTGTCAGTCCGCCCCTGGGAGGGTGTTTATTATTTTGAACAGTGTGGGAACTAGTTGGAGACTATTACCACTGATGAGAGATGATTGTTTCTGCCAGGAAGTGGGAATACTAAATGAACAAATGTGTGTGCTGAGGACCTGTTAGCATTGCAGACCAGAACTCGGGAAAAAGTCTGATGTAAGTGGATACATGCTTTTCTGCTACCTTCATTCCTGGAGGCTTAAATCTCTAGCAGTGAAAGTGAGTAACAATATTTCTTTATAGCACAAAAAGGTGAAGCATTAAAATGCAAATGACCAGAGAGTAGATTATCAGAACTGAGAACCAATATGTGTTGTAGGCAGCTTAACAGAGCTGAGAATCATCTGCTGTGAGCAGTGGGTGTGAGATGATGGCTATGTATTCAGCACTTAGCAACAAAAGAAGTTTAAATCCCTATATATACATACACGTATATCTTAAAGGAAACAATGGAAAGACTATTCATTTCTTTTATCAAAGTTTGCTCCTATAAAAAAATGTAGGCTGGTGTGCATTGTCCACCATGGTGTTTTACTCACAGGAGAATTTTTGTTTTTACTCTTGGCCAGTGGAGGATTTTTATGACCCCCCCCCCCCCCCCCCAATACACTGTGGCTGCAGAAAATGTGATATTGCTAACCAATCGTACAAATACATCAGAGCTTCATTAAACCATTTACTAGGTGCTAGGGACAGATTTAGATGTTCTTAATGACAGTCACATATTTTTAAAAAAAGTGTGACACAATGTCATTCTGCATACACACATGCTGTCATAGGCCACTTTCCATAAGAGCATAAGCACTCTATGTGTCGTTCGCTTGAGCCACCAAAATTCACTTTTAAAAACAATACAATCTACCAGTCCAGAGTAAAAATGTTTACCAGTGATGGCAGGTAAATAATTACTTGCCAAGATATATTTAATAAAAGAGAGTAGTTTTTTTATTATTATTATATATTTTATATTATTTTATTATTATTTAATTGTTATTTTATATAATTTTTATATTGTTTCATGTTATTTTTTTGTATAGAGGGGGCTCCTTTTGTCAAGGAGGCCCAGGAAAGTTGCCCCTTTTGCCCCCTTATAAATCCAGTGCTGACCTGTGCAACTGAACCAACATATGATTATAAATGATCTAAGTGTGAATTTATTTCTTCACAATAAATTCACATTCCTATGAATTATTTGTGTTTCATATATAAAGATTTGGGCTTCTGTTATTTTATGGCATGTTTCTGTATTTAAGGTTTTACAGAATAAGCATCAATTTGCTGATCTCTATCACATGTGACCTTTACATGTTCACTTCAAAAGAATGTCAATCCCTGCTCAAGAAAATAGGGTAAAATGTAATTAATGAGTATTTCTCCAGGAGTTTTATTTCTTGAACATTTATGTGAGGGATCCCTTAAATCCTGCTGTGAGCACCTAGTTTGAAAAGCAACATTTCAAATGGTATTACCTAAGTTGGCGCGTGGAAATGACAGAACTGGGAGAAATTGCCAACACAAGCTATTCTCTGTATTAGATGCAGGTGTAATAACATTTCCAAATAAGTTAAAGAATTTTAGAATATGCATGATTGCCTGAGAAGTTTTTCTTAGTGAATACTGAACAATGGGGTTATGTGGCTGTGATGGCTATAAATGTTGATTTGGGCAGGTGGTGTTAAAGGGGTCTTATATGCTTGCCTAAACACATATGGGGAGTGATTTACTAAATGGTGATGAGTGTTGGTACTTGGTCTGTACTTGACAATTTGCTATGGAAAAGCAAGTCTTCACTGGTTCCCAGCAATGAACAATAAACAGCAATAACAGCACAAAAATATTGAGTTAAAATAAAGCAATTCTGATATTCATACAACAAATGTATGCGTTAAATTGTATTTTTTGTGTCAGGAAAAAAATCTAGATTCTTTGCTTTAGTGATTACTTTTATACTGCAAGTATAATGAACCCATTGTATCATGGTATTTTGCAGTATTCCTGCAAAAACATTGAAAACTCTGAAGTGTACATGTGGAAAGGAATACCTATCAAAATCAGTGTGGTGGGGGCTAGTACCTGGGACACACAGTCTCCCCAACTGTTATCCACTCCAACTCAAACAAAAAACTCAAAGAAGAACTCAAATTTTTTACAGAGTTGTGTCCTCTAGGAGACAAAGTCCACATAGTACTTTCTCCCATGTTCCTATAAGCCAGGGTGCCCCCCACCCCATGGCCATCTGTTAACATAGCTAGCAAGTAGATGGCTGCTTGACAACTGTCACTTGTTTCAGCTACTTGAATCTGCCCCAAACTGCAGCAAGAGAAATGCAGTAATGGGGGGTGGTGGTGATAGTGGTGTGTGTGTGTGTGTGTGGGGGGGGGTAATGTTAGCCTCCCGTCCCTCTGCATTCCTCTTGCTGCTGCTTGTCTCGGGCAAGTGGTTGGAGCCAAGACAAGGTCCAGATACCAAACAGCCATCTCCTTGCTAGCTGTGTTTTTGGACAGCTGGGGGGGGGGGGGGTTGACAAAGTACTACATATAGTATATGTCCTGGGAACATGGTGTAGCACTTGTAATTAGCAATAAAGGTCGTCTCTATAGTGCACACCACTATTAACTACACAACAACCAATCATATTTTATTATCTAGGGTGCTCAAGCCTTTCAACAGTGTAACAATCTGTTAGTACAATAGTTTTTAATGTACAGAGTAAGCACATCACACAGCCAAACTGCTCTAGCAGTACGTTTATATTAGGCATATACAATATATACAATCACCTAGCAGGTACAGAAAACCAAGCATGTCATCTAACATCAAGCATAATACAGCAAAGATGTGCTGATGTTCAGAAATACATACAGGAATGTAATACCCAGAATAGAGTAAAAAAAGAAAGCTGAGCAAGTCCCTGGTGAAAAGAAAGAGGAGGAGGGGAAAAAACAACGTTTCGGGGACCCAAAAACTCCCTTTCTCAAGAACCTCCTACCTAATTTCCCACTGGAGCACACAAAGGGGGTTGGTGTGTTTACAGAACTATTCTCCAAACTTTTTGATACCACCTCGTATATACAGGTGTACCTTGGTTTACGAACGTCTCGGTTAACGTAATTTTTGGTTTACAAATAAAAATCCATTGAAAATAATGCCTCAGTTTACAAATTTTTTATTATTTTTTTTTCGCAATACGAAGTGTTTGTCAGTGCTGATTTTTAAATTCAATTGCTGGCTTTTTCTTTTTTCCACTATAGCTCACGGAATTAGCTGTTACTTTCCCTGGAGTTAAAGGATACTTTGTTTCTTTTATCTCAGGAAACAAACTAAAAGGAAACATTGTTACTTTTAACTTGGGGAAATATACAAAAAGGAAACATTGTTACTTTTAACTCAGAGAAATAAACTAAAAGAAAACTTTCTTTCTTTTAGATGGGGGGGGGGGGGGTGACAGCTGATTCTCTGAGCTATAGTGAAGAAAGAAAAAAAGCCAGTAATTACATTAAAAACCGGCACTGACCTATAGTGACAGCGACTTTTTTACTTTTGTTTGACCTCCGGAACGGAGTAATTGGTTTTCAATGCATTCCTATGAGAAACCTCGTTTTGGTTTATGAATTTTTTGCAATACGAAATGTCCCGGAGAACGCATTAAATTCGTAAACTGAGGTACACCTGTATGTGCTGCATGTATGTGTGCATGTGTGTATATATGTATGTGTGTATGTACTGTATGATTATATGAATGTGTATATGTATGTAGATACATTATTCCAATCTCAACCCCTAATCCTGTACAATCAGAACTGCTTTTTTGGGCTTATTCACAATAGTGGCACAGACTGCCACTCTTCACTGCCTGTTTTAACCCCCTAAATGCAGCACCACGGTGCTCCGACCAGCTGCAATGCTCGTGGCTGCAGACAGTTGCAGCTTTGCCCCATTCACCTGGGGGTATACTTCCTAGTGTGATTACAGCATGTGTATGGCCCTAGCTACTGCCTCTGCAGCTAAAGAGGGAAGAGTTAGGGGGTGGTAACAATGCGGCTGATTTGGAGCACTCTAAAATGAGCTGTGTTTGCCACCAATGTGTGGGGGGTACCCTTAAGAATTAATGGCACCCTACGCATCTGCTAAAGAGCAGCATGTTTGTCTGTGTTTCGGGAATGCGTGTGATTTTGTACGCATTTCTGACATGCAGTTCTGTGAACCAGGATTTGAACTAGGATGCCTCAAGCCTCAAAATACTTTTCCACGAGGCCATGACTGAAAAAAAAGGATGAAAAACTCTGCTCTGGACCCACCCCCTCCCCAGTACAAAATTGCTAACTAATAAAACAGTCCCCACAGGACAGAAGTGCATTTGTGCAAGATTTCGGATCACAAGTTTTTTTTAGGAGGCTACAGTGAGGCTCATAGACACCAATGAGAACAGGCAGGAAGGTGGGGCATTGCAAGTATCCTTGAAGGAGAAGTAGGGACAAACCTCTTTTGGCTGTACTTCTCCTGTAGGTGACAGGTGTGTACTTCGTTCTGCACCGGTGTGTCCGTATTCTGCTGTGGGCTGACATCACAGATTCTGACTACAATGTTAGGATCCACCCAGATGCCTGACTGACAGCTGGCTCAGCCTCTCAGTGTGTTGCTAAGAGCCTGAGCCAGCTGCTTTTGACTCCTCTACAGCTCGGCACTCCTGTGAGTGCTGGGGGGGCAAAGCAGAGGGCTGGAGACTGGCAGTCAGGGCTGCTGTTAGAAACCACATGGCCCCATCAGCCAACCTGACAGCCCCCCCCCAAAAAAAGAAAAAAACACAGTTAATGATGCTTCGGTTATGAATGAACACAGTGAGTGATTGACACCGATCACTCATTGTGTTCATTCAGGAAAGGAAGGGGCTGGTAAATACATATTTACCAGACCCTTCCTCCACTTTCCATCTTGAAGGGTCCTATTTTGTGTTAGCAGCTGCCAGTGGGAAGGAAAGAAGCCAGCAGCACTGTGGAGGTTAGGGGCACACAGAGAAGGCCTGGGCAGCAGGGAGAAATGAATGGTGTACAGGGAGGGTGATGAGTGCGGCGGGGGGGGGGGGGAAT